TAGATTTATTGCAAGTTTCAAACTTGGGCTATAAATAAACAACTTTACTACTCAACCTTGAGCCTTGTGCCCATCAGTCGGTGACTTATGAGTAGATTTCACGTTTATTGGTCCGCGGTTTTTTTCGCTTTTTCAAATCTTACGTCATAGTCTGGAATGGGGAGGGGGAAGAAAGGAACGGGAAGACTGTGGAAGCTGTCCCCAATTCTCCCTCCCCGCTCCCCCATATATCCGCCACTGTCTCCCGTCTACAGTAGCTTGTGCAGAAGATCCGCCTCTGCACCACTGTTACAATACGTGTTTATAAGCTGGGGCACCTACACTTCTAGAATGTGAGTGTATGTACGCTACCATATGAATCGTTTGAGTAAGCTTGCTTGAAGTTAAACTCCACCCACATGTCTCCATACCCTTGTCACAGCTCGTGATTAGGTACTACTAGATGTTCGATAGATGTGGCTTGCTTGAAGAAAATGCCCCATCCGCTTGAATTCATTAGGAGCACCGTGCGTTGATGATTTTGGCCACTCTCTCGTAGCTGTTTAAAATCTTGCTGTGTCAACAAACTACTTGCTTCAACCCACATAAAACACAAAACACTACAACAAATGGGCTCAACTGACTTACAACTGGTCAAAAATAAAGCGGGACCAGTGCTGCTTCTCCCACGACTTTCCTAACACCAACAACATAAAGATTGTCAGTAATAAAGGCATACTACATCTTTACTACACCAAAATCAGGGTGCGCAACGTTCAGGAGTTTCTACCAGACCTAATCCGGAAACCTTTAAAGTTTAATGTACTAATAGAGGATTATAAAGCATCGTAAGTAAGATGGAGCCCATCAAAAATTGGAAGATTCCAAAGTAGTCATTTGAAATCGGCTAGAAAGTTCAGAAGCGGCGTTCAGAAGAAGAGCCGCTGTTCATCATCTCACTGAAGGTGTCTGCCCTTCGCTCTTAGAGACGCCTTGAATGATGAACCAGCCCTAGTCCTAGGATATTGCAAGCTGACATACCGAGCTCACACAGACTTCTGATCGCCCTATGCCGGCCATGCAAACGT